AAAGATTGCCATATGCGCATCCGAGAAATCGTCGGGGCGTCATAATTCGGATCGGTCAGTAGGTGACTGGTAAGAGATAGTCATCGTGAGGAAAATGGATTTTGTTGCCGACGACACTTCGCAATTGCGATTTTTCCGTGCAGGATAGACCACCAGCGTATGAATAAGACTCAAACAAATGAAGATTGAGTGATGCACTTCTTTATCATCGACTTGAACGTGCTGAATATTGCTGTCACCCATCAGTGGTTGATATGTATTCGATTGATTTTGGTTGAGAGTGCTGAGTGATGCGGGGAGTAAGGTGGAGCACAAAGATGGATCGATGGGGCGACAAAGCCGCAGGAAGATGTATACTCTCCAGCAGATTCCTATTTGAGCGCGTTCGGCGTACATGAACGATCCCACACACAATCTGACCCCAAAGCAGTAAAGCTATTCATTGTACAAGCGATGCTAGGATTTGAGATCGCACGCATCCTTATCGTTGATGCGTAACGTTGTGACAGTCACATCCAACAATACCATCACCGTCTAAAAGGCGTCCAGAATTTCCGCAAAAATACTATGGTACCCCGTGACGGTCACATATCGTTGAATATCTTTTATCCTCATTCTTCCGGCTCGTCACCGCTTCAGGCAAAAGCGTGACTGTCACCTAGCACCAATGCGGTGGAAGAAACTGCCACATGTTGATCGGCATTGCCTATCATGAGCACAATCCATCTCATGAACTAACCGCTGCGCGCAAAAAAACTTTACGTGTCATGACGCGGCGTATGACTTGCTCTCGCCCGGCATTGAGACATATATCAGGCATTTAGCTGAGACGCATCGGGGCCACATCAACTACTGCGGCTTGACGTCACATTAGTCTGTCCGGTGCAAAGATCTTGCGATAACATTTTGCAAAAATAGAGGTAACCCCCACTAACCCTAAGCGAGCTTTGCAAAAATTTTGCAAAATTTTGCAAAGAGGTGTGTGGGGTTAGGGACTTTTCCGGAAGGTTAGTTGATAAATGTAGCAACGTCGACTGTGGGTGCCTTGGGACATCTTGCAGAGTTCTCAATGTCTCTCAGGTTGATGATCGCTGCGTGCGAAGACCCTGGAGAGGGATCTCTGTCCAGCATGTTCGCGTCCGTGTCGACGATCGTTGTTGGGTTTGATGTTCGTAGGCCGCAACATGAAACTCAAAGGCGTGGATCCTGAGTTTGACATGGCTGGCAGGACAATGAGCTTGCATGCGTCTCGAGCCGCCAAATCTGTTACAACAGTTTGTCACGGCGAGCTGTTTTAATTGTGATCTTCGTAGAAAATGGGTTACGGAACAGGCCAAAATTTGGCCGTGGCCTGAGTTTGAATTCGTGAGGTTCAACTTCAATCGTCGGTAGATCATCCACCTTCTAACACGAAAACTGATAGATCTGCTTGCACTTGGCCTTAAAGGTCCAGTTTTATGACCGATGGATTCCAGTGGCCCGGAAACGAATCCAATCATCAAACGTACAAGTCTATTCATGTAAGTGACCGTCGCGCTTTTCCAAGTTCCGCAAAACGGATATTCCAACCTTTGTTCAGGTGGTTTTGTGACCGTCACGCTTTGCATGTGTCGCAAGTCGGATGCTCCATGGATTTATGTGTAGGAGGAATTGTGACCGTCACGCTCTACAATCTCCGCAAAGCGGATGGATATTCCATTGTATGTTACAATGACTTTTCAACCGGTGATCAACTTCACATTATCGGTCCGAGGCGTATGATAGATGCCACCGTGAGATGAAGATGTAATGCAGTTTCACTTCTCAAGGTAATGAGCTTCAAACCGATTTTCAGAGGAACAAAAGCAGCACATTTTATGTATACAGTGACCGTCACATGACAATGTCAAACGACCCCCACTTCTCAAGCTGTGGACGACATCAATGGTGGGAGTCGCGACTGAGCAATGACCTAGCTGTTGTTGCGTCCTGAGATAGCTCCGCAATACGCCGGAAGCATGGTGTCCTTGACTGCTTCAACATTAACAGTCGATTGAAGACGAATCGATCATCAGAATATATTTGGAAAATGGGAATGCTCCGTCATAACAAACAGATCCTGTAAAATGAGTATTGGATCAAACAAAGCGTACCGGAGATCCAGAATTAATAGTGTTTTGTCGACACCGTTGAGGAAGATGGCCCTCAAGAACCCTCTCAATTTGTCGATTTGAACAGCACCTCCGTGAGTCTTTGATGTGCTCATTTGTCGCTTGAAAGCTCAGCCTTCGTTCTGCAAAGTCAATTTCTCCAATCAGACAATCGCGGAGCTGCGCATTGGACAATGTTGCTGAGATAATATCCGGCAGATTCTGCAAGCGTAACAAAATACGCAATGCTCGTTTCCTCAATATCCTGGTCACGAGTAAGTCGAGTAATGTGCTATGAAATATACATTCCATGACAAAGGGGTGAATTACGCTGGAAGTGCTACTCTCGAAACGAAACCAATGTCCCTCTGAATTGATCAGTCTCAGTCGAAGAAATCTTCCATTCAAATTTGAGTGGCGGAGAGCACTCAATTGGGCAGCGTTCTATGCGGAACACCGACGAGATTTACTGATTCATGTTAAAAATGCGCAATTCCCAATAGTCGGCATACTTTCAAGGATCCTTACGCAATGTTTATACATTAATTTGGTATCAAATTGAGGTTTTCTTGCTTTACTCTACCACTTTGAAATGTTAGCAAATGCCTGAAGCCAAGTTTTGTTTTGAATTCTGTTCATAGACCTGAATCACATTTCACACCGCGGGAAAAAAGCTTTAAAAATTAGAATTAAATGTCTGTTACCCTCAGCGTGCCTGGGAATGCATTATCGTGGGGATTACTTCACTGATGTCAGCGTCTAGATTCATTCTCCACAGAAATGCATGAATGGAATTTGCCTTGCTTTCGGATGTAAAGGCAATCTATCAAGCTCGACAATGAACACAGGCACTGCAATAGACCTTGCCTTGAGCTCTACGCAAGGACAGATATGGCGTGAAAAGTTCAGTATTAGATGCACTCATGACCCAGATGCATGTCACTCACCCCTCACCTAGCTGATGCAACACCTGGGAGCAAGAATCTTTATGACGCCATGTGCCCCTTGCCCTGCGGTTATGACTTCGCACATGATAACTCCGGGCCTCAGATAGAGATCCGCTATAAAGCTCACATTTGGGAGTCAACCCGACGATGACCCAAGCGGGACGTGAGCTTGCTGCGTCGGGCAAATATGATAGTGAGCGATCAGAGAGAGCGATAAGGATAATTACCGGTGGGCCGGATATCATGATTACAACCAGCGGAGGAAAGGGCGGATGAGCAATCCGTTCCTCGGCAAGCCTGTAGGCCAACACGAGCCGAGTTGTGAAGACGAGCAGTACTGCGTCATGATGTTATATAAAGTCTGTTATACGCGAAATCGGTGCATTGATTTTATCCGTAATACAGTATTGTCATGATAATGCACAATTCAAGGTCGAGCGGAGATGGCGGACATGAACGAAGGTAGCTGGACAAAAATGCTCCGGTTACTTGTCAGGATTTAATATATATATGGTACAGGTTACAACAGTGCTTGAAATGGATTGATAGTTCCTCTGTATTCCCCCTGCCTATTGAGTGACTTGTCGAGAATATACAAGCATCTGGCTATCCCTTACCCTGACAAGTATGAAGTCAATAATTGCGTCAGCTCATTTGCTATACGAGCTCACGACGGTGAGAGAATCGCGGTCATGCAGCAAGTAACTTCACGCCGTGTGGTCTCCAGAGGGCTTAGCTACACATAAAATTTCCCTCCTGAATGAAAAGGGAAGCGAAACGATGGAGGTATCAACAGGGTAAATAGAGTTTCGCATTCTAGGACGCCTCCCGACCGTGATATGACATCTCTTGGTCCAGTTTCAAACCTCGTTTCTCAACGTATACAGGTCTGATTCTGCAGGTGTATGTGTCACACTGACATTCTCTACCACATAGCGATGGATGTCGAGGCCGATCACGGGGAGATGATCTGTCTCGAACGAAGCTCTCGCTGTTGGATCCGGTACATGAGTTTGGTGGATTGACAAAGTTGGGACAGTTAGAGGGAGAGACATGCATCGATCTCGCCAGACCTGCAGTACCTCTATATACCATCCTGGGTCGGTCGAAGGTCCCTGGTTATGGAGATGGTGTCCAGACCTTGCCAAGACCGTCCTCGGCCGGGACGGAGCTCTTATCCGTCCCTCGTAACAAAAGTATCTCCTGAATCATGCAAATCCCCTTCATTTGCATTGCGAGTTGTAAAGGTATCCGGCACTGTCCCTGTTGCACCAGTATCTGCAGCCTATGTGAGAGCTCTGATCTCTAACCATTTACGCTGTGCATCGACTACAAGCTGCCACGATGCCACATTTTCTTTTTATTTACCTCGCTGCGACAAGGTATGTCTCCAGGAAAAAGCGGCCACCGATCCTGTGAAGGGTGCTTCCACTATGGCTGTCCGAGTCTCAAGCACGAAGAGTTGACCTGGCCTCAGCGATCGCTTTGCCGTCTGTAGGCAAGGACACAGAACGGCATCATCAAAAGCAAAGTGTCAATTTTGAGAAGCTGCTGACAATGACGCTCTTCATCTCTAGTAACATATAGAGTCGACTAAGCGCCGTGGATGGGGATCACAGATTCTCGACGATATGACCGCAATTCTAGTTTGCCACCAATCAGTCTCATCCGGGGGATGAGGGGAGGCAAGGCATTCCGAATACCGTTCACGGCAGCATCCTTCAGATCTTCAACCTCGTCCGCGGTCCGGTGAGATCTCTCTTGGGTCACAGGGTTCACTGTATCATGTTCTGTAGGCTCGTTCTGTCGAGTGCTCTCGCAGAACATAGCTCTGCGATCAGGAGCATCGGGGTCTGACATCCCGCGGAATGCTGAACATAGAAAGCATCTGCAATCCGAATATTGTACAGTGTTGTGAAACTTACTCAGAGCTCTTGCTTGTCATGCATGTCACATGCTACATTTGTCTTCCATACACAAAACCTCTGCCACCATTACACGACAACCATCATTCATTCGTTATTCTCTGATCCATTATTGTCGATGTCGTGGACTTCACCATTCAAAGCAGCCTCGTCATCGGAGTCCGGGGTTGCCTTTTTGTTGAAATAATGCTTCTCCCCGCTCAGGGAGCAGCCTCTCGCAGCTTTGGAGCATGCGATGCATGCCCTTCTCACTTTACCGCCACGTCTCGGCTTGGGTTGGACGCAGTCTTCGAGTTCACGGGTCTTGCACCTGACGCAGCGATTGTCATTCTTGTGTACGATGTTGTCGTCTGAGGCTGTGAAGACATCGGTTGTGGCTTGAGGTGGATTTGAGGCGGGTGCTCGAGGTGCAAAGTTGGGGATCGGAATCTGAGGTGACATCAGAATCAGAGCAATTGTGGATTTCGAATCACTTACTCGACTGGGTCCCGCGTTCTGAGGTACAGAGGCATGTCGGAAAGCTCGACGGTTTGGTAGAGGGGGAGGTGATCTGATCATCGGCGGAGCCTCGGAGGCAAAGCGCGGTTGATTCACGGTCGAGGGTCCAGGCATTGCACGAGGTGATGTCGATCTTAAGCGAGTAAGAGAGCGGCGACGACGCTTGAGTTGGCCCTTAAGACGCTTGGTTGGAGTGGAGGGCGAAGAGGAGCGCGATGATCTGTGTTGGGGAGTCAAGGGTGTCGTTCCTGCAGCCTCTCCTGCCGGAAGTTCGAACTCCGCTCCAGGATTGAATTCGAGGGTCAGACCCTGACTGCATCCATCGCCTAGATCCATCTCTATTCCAGCGCCCATATCATCCGCCGGCTGCTCCCATGATTGAGGTCCAAGTTGAGCAGCAGGCGTGGACTGTCGGCGACCGTGTTCCAGGTCTAATGCTGTTCCCCTTAGAGTGTCGGCAGCTTGAGCGGAGCCCCATTCGTGTGGTTCATCTGTCGGAGTAGTAGAGCGGATTGGGTGTGATGCGGAAGAGGAGGGCGTGGAGGGTTGTGGCTGAGGGAGCTGAAGCGTCTGAGGGGGAGAGCCCTTGTCGGTTCGCCCAAGGGCCGCTGTGTTCGAAAGGACTGAATGAAGGGTTTGATCCGCGTCACCGTTTGCGCCAAGCATCGAAGCGATGGTCTGAGCGATGGAAGAAAAGGTTGCAGAGGAGATATCGATGTAGTCGATTCTTGAAAATGAAGTAGAAGTGGAAGATGATGGGAGAGGATCGGGGAGGGTCCAGAAGCATTCGGGAACGGACAAGGTCAAGCCAGGCTTTGACCTGGAACGTTTCAGCTTCTGCATCCACGCGAAGAGCGATACTCACAAGTCTATACCGAGTACTTTTGGTTGGAACTGCGCAGGCAGTCGGGCAAGGTCCAGATTAGTACGTAGATCCGGCTGGAATGCTGCTATCGTGCGCATCCAAAAGAGAACATTGTTTGGACTGGATTCGGGTTCAGTGATCTCGTAGGTCCCTGAAGGAGAGAATTGGCGTCGAGATGTGATAGAGAGCACCTCTTTGAAGGTGTCGACTTCATTGAGGAAGGCCTCGGTAGCGACCATGACGGGCGTTGGGGTGTCAGATGATGACTGGGAGGTTGCTGGGTTGAGTGAGTTGCTGAGTTGAAAACAAACAGCGGGGAAACAAGAAGTGCGGGATTCCCCAGCCGGCAATAACGATCAAAACGCCGATGTGGCGATCTCGATCCCGCAAGAAAAGTGATTCGCGGGGATGCGGGGTGATTGCGGAATCTGCTCGGCGATATTAAACTAAATGCCGCTGTGGCGATCTCTCCCATACATTTTGTATCACGGCACGTGGTAGTGATATTTAAAGAAAGCTGTTTCCTGACGTCATGCCGCGAGCTGAGCAAAACAGGGCAAGGCTCGGCTCAGTCCCGCTTGCTGAGCCATCCTGATGCTACCGACATCGCTGTAGCATGTCAAGGACGGCGAGATAACAGATAGGAGCTTGCCGATGGCTGTCTGACACCGCGCTTTCCCACTCTCGGATCACTGGAACCTCAGGTTCCGCTTGTCTCCCCCTCGTATCAGTTTGATGGCTGGAATCACAGCGTGTAAACCTCGCACCCATTGATGCCGGTCCCATCCCTCATAGATTGGGCATGTCACGCCACGGCAGAGTCTCGAGCACCTCTGTGGGGCGCGTCTGTTGGGCGAGGCGTGTCATCTACACTGAAGCGCGAGTCGCTACGCGCACGAAGGCGTTCAGAGATCGATAGGCGTGTCTCAAACACAAATTCTCAAAGGGGAAAATTTCCCAGCAAAACCATCGGTGCCTGGGTGAATTTTGAAGGAGATATTCACCCTGGTGGCGTGAATCCCCTTTGCTTCCCAGTACGCGTTGTTGTGTTAACATGGCATTGGTCTGGCACTCGTAGTCTTGTCCGCAAAAAGCAATCCATCGAATTCGAAGTCATTCTTGACAGGAAGCCTGTTTTCACAGCAAGTTGGTGCATCGCTCGTCCGATTTGCGCGGGCTACGCTCAACGAGAATACCTTCACAATGCCCAACGAGAAGCAAGGACGTCTGTCAGCATTGCAGCTAGGAGACCGCCAACTTGATTCTCGAGCCGTACGCTTGAATCTCGCAGAGCGATCTGCATCGCGTACCAGAAGGTGTGAGGACTGTCTGATAACCTACACATGACCCACGCACCCAATGGGACAAGGCGCGAAGCAGAGCTCGACCGAACCCGTGATCGACCGGCCTCTCAAAACAACCTCTGAGTACTTCAGGGCCTCGGCACCTCAGGATCTCTGGCTGGACATGAGGCTGCCGTCTTTGATATCGTGCCTCATAAATATCAAGGTCAATTCCTTCGATGACGCTTATCACTGGACAGAACGCAACGGCACCGCTGACGCAATGTCTGTGTCTATGGAGAGATTGATCCAACCGGCCAAGCAGCCATGGGCATCTGATGAGATCCCTTGTCGCCACAGGGCTTTTAGAATTTTAAGCATCGGTTCATCGACCTACATACGCTCTACCAAGTCGATGCAAGTAGCATGAGATTATCCTGCTATTCATCCTGGTCCGTCAGCAGACTAGCGACAAAGTCCAGGTCATCCTTGGTGAAATTCCAATCAAAGTCCTCTCGCCCATGAGAGGTGTCTCTGACGGTAGATGAGTTTTGGAACTCGCGGGACTGGACTCACTCTAGTGACCTCGTTTCAGACAGTCGACCCTCGTCATTTTGACTGTGAAGGGGATCCTCGGATTCCGGAGCAGGTGATTCGACTTGCGGTATCCAATTCAGGGTCTCATCGTCCTCAAACTGTATGTCCGACCCTGTGTGGTTGTCATCGTCGACGCCTCCCTCATCGTCGGAGATCGCAGCTCGAAGCAGAGGAAGGGAATCGTCGCTGTCCATTTCACCCTCGAGAGATTCGCCGTCCCGGATCGGAGACTCCGCCGCATCCTGCATATTGTGCAAGATCCGTCTTGGAATGGTGCCCATGGTCGCAAACATTCTTGCATGTGGTCCGGAAATGGTCACGTCTTCGTCCTCTTCGCCGCTGTCAGACCAGCTTCGTGTGCCCCCATCGAAAAGGTTCAATGATAGCCTTCCGTGCAACCGCACCTCTTCTCCCCCTACTCCCGCGATGAACGGATCATCGTCAGAGGAGCATGCTACACTAAGCGATCTGACACATCGACGGTTTCACTCACAAGGCACCCTTTCCTGCGGGCTCGACCGTTCTACAGATTGGTTCGGTACATCCTTGTCCTTCTCTCTGGTGTTGTTCAACCGAGTGACCGCAGCCCAGAGGACTTCATTCTCGGCCCGGGCCTTGATGAGCTCAGCATAATTCTCCATGCTTGATTTGGGTGAGAAGCTGTCTTGCGACGTTTGTGCTGCGATTTTTGTCTTGCGATTTAAATCTCGCGATCCCTTTTAGGCTATTTCGGCATTATTTTTCTCGGCGTTACGGACCCCGTGGCAGAATTTTTGCCAAGCCATTTGTTTACATTTTTACAATCTTGCGACGTTATTCTCGCGATTGTTTGTTTTGAGATTAAACTCTTAAGACGGCCTGAACACATACATTCTGCATTGGCATCCTTTTTCTGTCCTTAACACAAAATCTCCCGTCCCTACTCAATATCTGTATTCGACACACCCGGTGAAAGAATACATCCCTTGAACACAAAATGTCTTCCCTCGAAAGGCGGAAGGCGCTCGAGAACTGTGTGAAATTCATGCAAGACCCTCTCAAGCAAGCACGACACGCGGTTCGCACCTGTGACGCGACCTTGAGTAAGGTAACCCGAGAAGTCGTGAGTTTCTCTGAGGCTAGGCAAGGTATTGGCACCGCGCTGAGGACTGTTTGGGGTATGTAGCACACGGCAGCTGCGACCGATACTCCACGCACAAAAGCTTTCAGGACCGCCCTCACTACGAACAGGCTCCTCCGTGCGGCTCATGGGGAGTACCGACAAGTGGTTTCGGAGATGTCAAAGGAGACCTTCCAAACGTTCTCAGCCGCAGCTACCAGTCATCCGCATGAATCCTCCTCGGCTATCAGTCCCAATCCCGGCGAGTCCCCACCTGAAATCGATGATGATGGGGAGGCGGGCAACATCAATGATCAACGATACGTGCCTGGGTCCAGCAAAATTTCACAAGTCAAGAAGAGTCTGGAGCACAAAAGGGAGCATGCACGTCTCCGGAAGGCGAAGTCCAGAAGCAAGGCGAAGAGTGCGGGCAGATCGGAGCGTGAAGTCAGTTTTGCGGAGACTCATGAAGTGACATACTGATCTTCAGCAGATGATTCGACGATTCAAGGACATCGAGGCATGGACCGCTGGTGATGACGAGATCTGGAGAGTTGGGTCTCCTGCCGCCATTCGTCACGCTCTCAGGGCAAGATTGGCAGGTCGCGGGGCCAGTCACGAAGTCGATTGACGTACGAATTGAGCCAGTCTTTGCAGCCGAAGTGAGGTGGCTATAGATTCCGCCTTGCAGTTTAGGAATGTAGTCCCTGTATCTGCGCCAGAAAATGATCCGAATCATGATATCATGGGTCTGAGTAATGCCACCATACTAGCACGTGGCCGAAAAGTCGGGATTCTCCGTACGTCCGATAACATCCTACAGCAAAGACCGATCCCAGTTCTCGGGCTAAAGGTATGAAGCTTGGTGAGAGAATCTTCAGAGATGAGATAGTAGGGAGTTTTGCAAGCAAGCCGAACAAGACTTTGTTATTGACCCAATTACTTGCTGGAAGATCGCCTCATCAGCTGGATGAAGGCCTATGATGACGGCCAACCAGGAGGAGACACAGAGGAGGAGGCGGTGAAAAACGCAGGCCGAAATTTTACACCAGCTTCGCAAAACGCAGCAGAACTTTATCTAAGCATCCCTTCGAAATCTCGGTCTTGCCTCTGGACGAGGTCGGGAAGCCTTCATGCGAGATCGCTTGAGAGTCCGATCAATCACGAAGTGGAAGTGTTGTCCCGGTGCCGGTTCGAAGACAGGGGTCGCTGAGTCCCTGTTCCGATTGATGATGAGAGAGAAGTATTTGCTCTCTGGCAACATTCGTGATCCGGACATACTGTGCTGTCACTGGGTTGTGCTGCGGTCACTGAAGGGCTTGTACACAAACAAGCCGTAGGGATCCTTGTTCTGCACTTTGAGAGGTCTCTTACAAGCGCATGCATAGTGCGTGAGCTCTCACAGTCCTTGTTTGTGGCGAGACGTAGGAGGGATGATGAATGTGAGAAGCGTAGTGAGCCTAATGATAAATGTCCCACCTGACCGGACGAGCTGACTGCAAGCTCGTTCAGCGCTGTCCCCGTTCTTTCGTCGGAGTCCACTTTACAGATGAGCAGCTCGGCAGTGTACGACGAGCTTCGCGACCTCGAGAACAATGAGACCGTGAAGAGCCATGTGCACCATCAATCTTGGGCTTGGTGAGTAGACGAAACATTCGTACAGTATCTCACGCGAGATCACTCGATTTTCGTTTTTATCTTTAAGGGTCATATGTCTGCAGTAGATTTCAATCAGCGGTCTTCCCTCCTGTGCCCAATGAGCTCGTGGAGGAGAGAGGAGCCACGATAGCCCATGCCTCCCTTTACGTATGCATACTTTGACTCTAGCAGGCTGCAAGTGTAGGCAGCATCGAGTCTTCATCATACTTTAGAGCCGAATCTCATGCAGCATCCATTGACAATCGTCTCGTTCTGTGAACTTTACCCGGGAGTCACTGATCAATTTCGGTGCCCGGAAGCGCATGTTCATAGGCTAATATCCTTCTCAGCGCTTAGGAAATTGACATGGTAATGACATCTTGCTGAGACTCAGTCTCTTCAACATGCGAGCAGACCAAGAAACGGCGAAACATCCTGCATGGGAAGCTCGATCTTGGTGGACGCTGAAACCGAAACCATAAATCTCAGTGGACCAGAAAAAGTGTTGACGTCCAGTTATACCTCGCTAAGGTGATACTGTTTGTGTAACCTGACAGCATGAGCCCCAGAGTAAATTGAACCCTTGATTTGCCTGGGGCACTTTTCACGATCGCTGCTGATGATACACAGATGAAAAGACATATCATGAACTTCGAGGCCTATGGGCACATATGGGCGGTTCAAATTTTGGAAAGAGAGCATGGCCTGCCGTATCTATGCTTCGAAGCCCACGGAGTGAGAGTCTGCTTGAGAAGGAACGTGCAGGGCTATGCTGGTCGAAGGCGGTCAGAGGACACGACCCCAGCGCATTGGAGACATGGGTGTTACAAGTTCAGAAGTCGTCACTGACCGCTACATCAGATTCCGCATATATTCCGAAAGACATTGACCGGAGGGCCCTCATAGCAGAACACAAAGGCAGTCCTAACCTGTCAGCCTTGATGTTCAGCTGTCTGCAGGAATACGAATGTCATGAACTCCCTGCCCGAAGACTGTCTGTGACTACTGTTCATAGAGTCCCACTCAAGATGCTGTGGGGAAAATACGCGGAGTCGAAATCCAAAATCCCGCAAGCGGGTGGCTGACCCCGCAACCCAGCTATCGCCGCACCAACCCCGCAGTCCCGCAATTTTCGACCCCGTGCACCCTTCAGCGATGGCGTCCCAAGACAATGCCAGGTATCCTCAGGACTGAAGTGAACCTCGCTCACCATCTACATGAGTCAATTCTCCTGAAGGCAATTCTCCTGCTTTGACGAGTCGATTCCGCCGTTCCACCAGGGCAATCCTGCTGCTGTGTCGAGTAGATACTCAGTCTTTACCAAAGGCGTCATGGGAAGATCATAAGCCCGGATCATAGAAAGCTCCGCGACGCTGCTGTGTGAATCCTGCTTGTAACTGCATCCTCCATTCACTGGAAGCTCTGTCCCGACAGCTGATCTTGCAGGGTATGTAGGTTTTCTCAGCGTACAGTAGAACCAGCAGAATTTGATTGCTCTCAAGACATGTTGTCCGGCTGATGGTGTTTGGCCTCCAACTACAAGACTAAAGTCGATCGTTGTTCTGCTGTATCCTTCTCAATACTCTGATATACCCCGACAGCGCTCTAAATGGAGCCGTGAGTACGCATTCATGCGAGCAGCCTGTCGTATCTCGCGCCTCGACGCAGGCGACTCGGCAGGAGGAGGGTAACAGTTAAAGCGGTGTTCCACAAGTACGTGGTAGTTCCCGTGAATATCCTCGACTACCATATTGGCGAGTCCAGCTCCTATGCTACATTCCTCGGTAAACCTACAAAATGCAGTTCTCGGTGAGGTAGTCTGATGTCACATCAATGTGGAGTCGCGCCCAAATCACGATTGAGCGGGAGTAAAGGTCGGCGGGTGAGATAAGTGGCGGACCCTCTGTATGACTGTCAAGTCCATTAGTCTATGAGGAGAGTTTGGAAGATTATTTAGAGGTTGATTGGTGAGGGTGTTCACTGCCATGGCGAGCTCGGGAGGCGACACTACCCTTGGGCTCTAGAAAATATTTAAATCAAGTGTTGTTTTTTTGGCAAACTTACGTGCGCCATCTAATCATTATTCGCGTGGCAGACGTTACCAGTATAGGAACGACTAGCATAGAAGCACAGTCTTAGCGGATTCCCTCCAGAGCATGGCGCTATTACCATTTTACTCAATACAGGGTGCAAGAACAGTTGTTGCACGTGTTAGGAACAGGCTTGTAATTGGATGAGGCTCGTGGTTTGAGCCTGTATCAATCAAGTCTTTTACGATGTTATCCTGCGTAGCCGTCAGTGTATGTTCGTGACAGCGCGTCCCATCAGCACGTCCTTGAAGGCAACACGATCTCTGTGAGATCTAGCGGATGGCTTAGTCATAGCTCAGACCTAACGACTTAGTGAACGAATACGAGGGAAGCAGGAGAGGCTTAATGAAGCTTGATCGCGACCAATGAGGGACATAGATCTGCTGAAACGCCAATCGCTGGAACGCCCTGCAGCAGCTCAAGGCTCCATGATATATAAGTTCTGAGAACACCGACCGCTCGGCTGAATAGAATCCTGGGCGGGTGACACATAACTTCTACCTGTCGGCAACAATCCGCTGGAAATTTGTCTCAACTATCGCCTGGAAGATCTATCTCTGCAATGCTAGATTGGAGATCATTCAAAGGAATAATTTTTCCTCGACCATGTCTATGGGTCAGGTCGTGTGGCTTCACCCGGTATCCAGAGGTACGAGCGAGTCGATACTCCGGATCCCGGGAGCTCTCAGACTGTCAGGAACGGTTGGCAGCCTGCGCTAGCCGAGCTGCCACCCGGGTACCGCACAACGTAGGAATAGGGCTGAAAGATAGGATGTTTCTTCATCAATATGAATCTTTGTTGTCTATATGCCACCCACTCCAAGACCCATAGTCAAGGTCGGTATTCAGGTAGGATCCTTAAGCCGGAGAGGTCTGTTCGTGACACCGACCGATTGCACCTCTTTCGTGTAACTCACAAAAGGCAAGTCCGGACTCCCCTCGAGTCCTGTGCAGTCCCAACAGATCTCCGTTCCTCTATACCCCTGTGCAGTCCCGACAGATCTCCGTTCCTCTATACCGGCGGAGCTCTCGGTGATTGGGCAGGCACGGTTGAATCGAATGCTACATATCATGTTTCAGTATGTATGATGAATAGGAACATGATCGCATGATAGGCGTTTCAAGACTGATGTCGCAAGAGCCAGGGAGCGTCGCAAGATCGGGCTGACTGAATTCTGTCTCAGATGTTTCATTGGGATTGAAGTCCCTGCATCTCCATCGATGGTGCCCAAGGTCTACGTACAGGACTTCACATCGATTGTGACGTCTTGCATCAGCTTGTACAGTAGTTGGTATTCGCCGTTCCGGCCGATGCTGGGGGACGAGTCTAAAGAACAATGGGCTCCGATCTCACGCCGCATGTGTTGATCAGGAATTTCGAATAATGTCACCATCCCCCGCCTTGCTGCTGTACGGATCGAATGGTGCGGTCAAATAATCTGGACACGCATGGACTCTCACATATCGTATGACATACTGACTAGCCTCTGTACGCAGTTGCTGCTGCTTCAAATTTGGATTCTTGTCCGTGAGCTTTTCGCCGAGTCGGTATGTGTATGAAAGGCGCCGTACGGTCTCAGGCAACTAGCTCCTGTTGGCGCTGGCACTCAGCATCACGTTTATGGACAGATAAGAGTAAGAGTCGTCTCCTCCGCGCCCGCGTTGCTGTACAGTTTGCCCCCTGATACGTGACTTAGACACGTTGACTTTAGCATCCCGGAAAGTCTACTGTACATCTTGGATCTCGCCTTTCAGTAAGAGACCGATACAATCCGAAGAAGCAGTGATATCCAACTACGCTCGCCTGTTGCTATTCTGTGAATCATAGGGGTCTTTTCAATTTCTCCGTTTGAGGAGCTCCGCAGAAGGGAATTGCCCTGCGATGACTTAGAACGGAGCTACGCCTTGCTGGGGCCAATCTCTGAATACTCTCCGCTAAAGGGAGAACAAGGCTCTGCCGGCCAGATGCAAGGCTATAAGGATGTCAAGAGCTCGTGACCAATTTATTGTGTCAAAAATGAATGGACGTACAGTGTACAACGTGGGGCCCTGAGCAATCGCGTGGTAACGACGCCACGAAAGGTATAATGTGCCTGCTGAGCGCGGCGATGATGTGGCTTTTAAATAAATGCTATATTTTATATACGCGGAATCAGAAAATGGAAAAAATTTTAACCGTCTTGAGACATCCATCTTGCGACATATTTCTCAAGAACTTCATCGCTAAGTATGCGCACCCCTCAGCGAGAAAAGAAATCAGCATCAAGAGCTTCAGGCTCGCGATCGCAGAGAGAAAGCCTGATGCTCTGTCGGTCACGTGGGGTAACGGGAAGATCAGGTTCTACCAGCCTGTTGTCAGACATGACGGTAAGCTGCTACCCCTTGCTTCCGTGGCCTCCAGATGCTGACTACCGGGAAGCCATCCGCCATCTCAGGGTCCACAGATCGTGCTCGTGCCATCACCCCCGGCACGAGACATGCCATCCCTACGCTGTTCACTCTTGGGAGCTCGATGCGACCGGTTTTGTCAAAAAGAAAGGCATCAGTCGCGGCGGAAGCCTCAACACTGGGAAGCCACCAGGTGCTTTCGAGCGGCAGCCCACGCTCGATCGCCAATGCGGAGACGAACTCAAGCCGGACCCGAAGAGAACATCATCCACTCGGACAGTCACGAATCAAACACTCAGCTCGTGACATGCAGACTGAGGCTTTGAGGTCGCAGAGGGGTGATGTCAATCCCGCCGACATTTCTTGGTCGGAGAAACTGCGGGCTGACATTGTAAGCTGCTGGCCCCCGTCCTGGTCATTTGCTAGCTGACACAAGCTTTCAGTACAAGAGACAGGTCGACAGTCTTACCACAGCTATGAGTCAGCTCCTGACTGGCTCTCAGCCCGTTCAAACAGGGATATCAATTACCAATTCGACCGTTCACATCCACAAAGACGTCGGCCAAGTCACTTACAGTTCGGAAAACAACAATAGTACCGGCCTGGCTCATCGTTCCCCTGATGCTGAGACCTTCAGCCCTACAGGCACAGCTTCAACGACCAAAGGTGCGACAAATGCAACGTCCGAGCCCTGGAGACGATCATCAGCGGTTGTGACCCATCCCCCTCCTCCTCCTTCTCCTCCTCCTCCTCCTCCACCTCCTCCTTCTCCTCCTCCACCTCCTCCTCCGATCCGCCAAACCCGTCCTCCAGTCCCCGCTCCTCAGCCCCAGCTGAACGACGTCGGACCTGCGGCTCCAGCCATTGCACCCCGCGCTCCAGAGGCGACGCCTCAGTGGGAACGTCTTGCGAAACGAGACTTCACCGGGCTTTCTGGACCAGACCTCATGGATCTGCTCAAGGCCGATGTTCGTCTGAACAATAGATCAAGGCTGAAGAAGGTTGTACCGATTACAGCGGAGGAGCGAAAGCTGCAGAGAGAGAAAGAAGCACTGTCAGTGGTCCAACAGGGTCCCAAGGCGACGTGGAGAGATGCGAACCGAAGAGCTGCGGCCGCGAAGGCACGTACCCAGGAGGTGCAGCCAGACATGTCATTGCCAAGGACGGATCCTCCAAGCAGCGATGCGGCGATCGTTGAGCCATGTCTGAACCCTCACGAAATGGAGCCAAGCAAGGAACAAGCAAGTCAGTCAAGCGAAACCTGTACCGAGCCAATACCCATCAGGATTACCAGCGATACCGGCTCCCCAGGATCGACTGCTTGCTGATTCACAACGGGTAGGAGGACAGTATGGCGGAGTATTGGCAGGATTCTCAGCAACGTCGTAGATTTGCGTTCGACGTCTATACTCGGAAAGACAGAGTATGCTGTATATAACCAGATGAAACAATTCGAGTAAGCCATGATCACATTGTGCATGCAAACGCTACGGGCAAGCTGCCAGTCTGGGCAAGCTCACAACCGCGCTGAAACCGAATTATACTGCATATCTGCTCACCCCGCTACCCCGCCACCCCGCCACCCCGATACTGCGGATTCCCTGCGGTGTATCTCATAGATCCTGACGTCTTCTACCATGTCCACGGTCAATATGATCAACAGCTTCTCGAAAGCTCACGGTTCGCGTCTCACTCACTGAGTGGAGTTGCGAATCTTGTTGTAGCGAATATTCCGCCGATCTATAACAGAATTCTCACGGTCTCTCAAGTCGGATCCCACCGCGTCCCAGTCAGATCCATGTTCCAGGCTAATTCCTGAGATCTATGGTCGTTATCAGACTGTTTCCGGACCGGACAAGCCGTCGTGGAGCAATGTTCCGGTATGAGAGCAGATGAGTAATTTTCGTCAAGTGAGTTAGCCACAACGATCACTGCTCACTAGCGCCTATGAGACAACCTGTAAGGGGGCCTGAGCATAGTCGGTGTGTTAATGATGGAGCTGGTGACATCATGAGCACGAAAAGACAGTCGTATAGATATTGACTTTGCAACTAGTGGTGCCTTCTGTCGACCCATAGAAGTGAGAAGCAGATTCAAAGTACCGCCTCGCAACTCCCATCCCGATTTAACGCGCGGAGTTGACCTTCAGCCGTTGGACAGAGCTTCCTTTCGGAGGGTCGTGATACGGCATGACTGCAGCGTGCCTACGTTTTGAGACACCTTGACTGAGATGATAGGGTTCATAATGCCCGCTGATATGCTTGGGCTGCGTCACTGGCTCAACATACTTCTCTCATCAAAGGGTGAATACCCTCAATTGTGTTTCGGCTGCCTTCGGCCGACATCAGCTCGGCAACCTCGGCAATGTTTCCATTCAGCAGAAATCCATAGGTTCCGGATGGGACGCATGCCGTACGACAGCGCGACATCATCGAAGAGTCTGATGTGCCGTCGAGGCGTTCAGGTACAAATCATTGCTC